CGTGAGTTTGAGACGAATTTAGCTTTCATTTTAGACTTCACGTCTCCCGAAATAAAACTGCGAACAAAGTGAAACAAGGAACTAAGTAAACTGTAAAACCAAATTTTCGTCACGCATTGGACTTTATCAAGGTTACACTGAAAAGGGGAGGTTTGATCTCTGAACCAGAGAGTGTGGTAATTGGGTTAGGAAAGTAAACATACATGCGACAAAGATCAGGGTTACCATTAGGAAGAAAATTTCAGCAAAATTTATAGAAAGGGGTGTACACATCCATGCGAGAAAAAATCGGGTTACCAGTAAGAAAAAATCACAACAGAGAAAGTTTATAACCCTCAGATCAGCGTAGTAAAAGTGTACTAGAAATTAGTCTGTAAAACCGTTTCCACACATGTTATTGATTTTCGGTTTAGTGTGTTCTATTGCTAAGCCTTCTCTTATAAAGGTATCTAAGGTATCCTTACATTGTTCTGATATGCTAAATTCGTAGTTTTCGAAGAATTTGCTAAGTCTCTTTTTCCCGATATGGGAGTGTAGTGTGGGTCGTCTGCTCTGCGGTGTTCAGCAGCGTGGTATCCTAGTGTGGTCCTGCTGTTGTTGAGTCGGAAGCTAGACTCGTGTTCGTAGATTCGACCTCTAATAGGTCGTCTTGAAGCTCCTATGTACAGATCTCCGCATTTCTTACATTTTTTACAGACTAATTTCTAGTACACTTTTACTACGCTGATCTGAGGGTTATAAACTTTCTCTGTTGTGATTTTTTCTTACTGGTAACCCGATTTTTTCTCGCATGGATGTGTACACCCCTTTCTATAAATTTTGCTGAAATTTTCTTCCTAATGGTAACCCTGATCTTTGTCGCATGTATGTTTACTTTCCTAACCCAATTACCACACTCTCTGGTTCAGAGATCAAACCTCCCCTTTTCAGTGTAACCTTGATAAAGTCCAATGCGTGACGAAAATTTGGTTTTACAGTTTACTTAGTTCCTTGTTTCACTTTGTTCGCAGTTTTATTTCGGGAGACGTGAAGTCTAAAATGAAAGCTAAAGAATAAATTACAAAAGTCATTGATGAATGCCCAAAACAGGTATGGTGCTGAATGGAATGACAAAAATTTCACTGAATTCTAAGTTAAACACAATATAATCCAGGTATCGGCAGGCGCTGCCGCCAAACGACATAATCATGCATATACTTCTTTAATTTCAGCAGCTAGTATGTTAGCGCGCATAACAAGGCGCACTAGCATTTTACCCCCATTCTAGGTTTCACTGATTTCACAATACACAATACACAATATGTCCAATTTGATTCTAATTGTTGCTCCTAATCTGATAATTCTAATGACAGTGACTGCTCCCTATTAACCAACATTTTCGGTCGAACCCTAAAATTACTAATACCAAATTTAAACCCCACATATGCGTGTATAGTCTCCAAATCTTCTCTCTGCTCTCGGACTTTGTTCTCTTGAATAGAACTGTTTGTATACTTTAACAAATAGTGATTTTAACTTTGAGATAAACTGCTAGATTATTATATTTTTGTACCAATGTTCACCTAACTTAACGTCTCTCACTGACACCATCACCCGGCAACCAATTTTAAAGTATAATTTATTAACGATCTGACTACAGACTGGCGGTCAACGTTCCCCGCGTATAGTAGCTCAACGGAGGGGGTAATCAGGGCACGTCGTTAATGAAAAATGTACGTGTCCTTCCACAATCCCCTCTGAGTTCAAACAGTCCCCGAAACGAAAAAGCAAACATTTGATTTTTGTTTTGGCGACTGAATGGTTGATGGGCCGGCAAATATTTGTTGTCGAGTAGTGTTGAATACTCATATTAACATGATTATTGATTTAATTTAGGAATTGCATATAAATATCTTTGACCAAGTTTAGTTGTTAATGAGAATGCACCCCAGCACTGGGCGCGCACGGCGGCTTTGATATTAGCGGCTAAAAGCTTGAAGCTAGGCAGCTGCAGAAAAAATGCCGCCCGCGTTCAGCGTGGGGCTTTTCGTTTTTGATTTTACAAATGACAAAGCAACTTTTAATGATTATTAATGGAATTATCGATTATCAGGCTATTATGTTCATAAAATAGAGATTCGGCGCGCAGAATGACAGGCTGAGCGCGGCCCAGTAACTGTCATTCCGCTTGATTCACGATGTCAATCCTTCGCAGCTCGCTGCTCGGTGAGGCACAGTGGTGCATCTTGCCGATCTACTGAAGTGGTTGCGAGAAGCATTATTTGATGCGCGCGCGACCCAGTAGTGCATTGCGCTACAATCATTCCGCCGAATCTCTATTTTATATATGTTTATGAAAATAATAGCCTGGGGTCCCCATGTAACTATTTAATTGTGTTCTGCAAAGTATAATATAACAAAGAATTGAAAAAACTTTTACTGCAAAACAAATATTTATATATACAAACTGCAAACTGTTTTTTCCTTTATAGGATTTATTTTGTATTGTAAGTTACCTAATTTTTGTCGGAGCTCTTAAAAAAGTTATGAGTAAATAAAATGATTATATTATATACATTTTATTGTAAGTTTATAGTCTACCAAAACGCGCGCCGAGTTAGACTCGTTGGAAAAATTTGTTTACGGCTATCATCCATTTTATCGCTTCATTGACAATTGACGGTTGAATTTTTTGTTTCACTTAAAAATTTGGACTCTCTCGTTTATCCTTGTGAACTCTGTCATGTACACTATTTGTTTCAAAGGGTTTTGTTGTTACATGTGTCGCCAACTGCAGCCTACCAAATTAACTCCAACAATAGACACAATGATTTAACGTAAAAAGTAGAGCCTACAAGACAGGCACCTTACACATTAGCTATTATCAATAATAATTTATCGCATATCAGCTCTGCACTCTGTCCTGGTGCCTGAAATCTTGGATACTGTGCACATGGTATAGCTAGTAGGCTAGTACCAGGGAGTTTCCCCATTGTGCTTGTGTACCGCTTCTGATTGAAGTACTATAGTTTGCATACTACGTCAAATGTGTACTGAAGGGTACCCTTACAAGTTTCGAGATCTTTGACAGGGTACCTCAACCCTCAATTTCCCGATCATTCAGTCAACCACAGGTGCAGTGGCGTAACGAAAGGCCCTGCTGACCCCGCTGTGCAGGGGGGCGCCGTCTTAGGGGGGCGCCAAATCGTCGTTTGAATGTGGGACAATTTCGAAAACTTAACTAAAGTACTAGCAAAACTGCGCGTTTTGCTCTAGATACACACTTTTTTAGAGATTTTACCGGCGTATTCTCTAAAATCACCTAATTTGGTCAATTCTAGGGAGGGGCACCAAAAGGGGAGGGGGCGCCAACAGGGGGGCGCCATCAGGCAACGTTACGCCACTGCACAGGTGATTGCACATAAGTTTTATGCAAATCATTTGGATTGATGACACAAGCGGGTCTGAAATGATCGATTTTCCAATCATGGTTGCCTTCAAGCGACCGCTGCACTGATCCCCCAAGGTCTTTAACGGCATTCGTCATGTTTTCTGCTTCCTTTTCATTGGCTGACATTATTCTACTACAGTATAATACTTTTTTTTTATTATATAAAATATTCAAACAATATACACATAATATAGCAATGACCCTATATAAAATCAACCCTTTAAGAATTCAACAAATTCCCTTAACAATCAAAAATTTTTTACCCTTGGCCTTGTGGCTCCAAGTTAAGATCTAGACTGTTTATATCAACAATGTTTTTTCTCGCACCTCTGTCTCCACTACAGTATAATACTGATTTGCTGCACCTCCAATTACTGCAGATATTCTCTTTGCACCAAATCTGGACTCAATTGTGCCCAAACGCCCATCCCCCTTGCCTAGCAGTAGATTAAAAAAAATAAAAAAGGGGGGACCCCAACCCATGTAGCTGAGACACCTCCCAGCAAGTATACCAAAGTGGCTCTTGCTTGTGAATGGTGCGTCAACTACCCGCTGAAGCGGTGGGTTGGGAGTCCCCCCTGGGATCATTTTGTCCATAAAATTATATACAACATAAAATAGTACAGTAAAATATCAAAATTTACATAAACAAATCTAGGAGACCTCAAAGCTCGTCTTCTGGGGGATGAGGTTGAAGGAAATGTCTTGCAGTTCAAGATGCTGGGCCGTTGATCTTCCTCTGATTCCTCTTAGTGCAATGAGTGTACTTCTTAACAGATCAAATCTGAATTAGATGGGGGTCTAAACTGCTTTTTGTTGTGATGCGATTTAGTGGATTTTATATATAATATTATTACAAAGGGTTTTATTTTTACCTCAGTTTTTAAATTTGTACCATTTTTACAGAATTTTTATATAGGGTCATTGCTATATTATGTGTATATTGTTTGAATATGTTTTATTTTTATAAGATCAAATCTGAATCGTGTTCTAGCAGTAGATAATACATACAAGTGTATGCGATAAGTTCCTGTGGCGTTTACTGTAAACATTTATTGATTAACGATTCATGACAGAGTGAGTAAATTATTGGTTTGTTGCTGCTTCAGATACTTGACAATGAAACCTTGATTTACTGCAGCTTTTACTTTTCCAATGCTTGCAGTGAATTGTGGTTTTGCTGTACATCCCATTCTTAGATGTGTCACACTGTTTCCCTGACACCGTTTACCTTTTTGTATTTTGCTTTTTATACTTTTTTTTGTGTTTTTTGGTAGGTATCTCATCACACTCAGTCAAGCATCATTGACTGAAAAGCTGGCTTGTAAATTCTATCAGATAGCCTCAATTTATTATCTGTGTTATTTTTGATGTTGCCCCCCCCCCGCCTATCTTGTCAAATTTGAACTTCTTACTTTTGCATTACCTATTAGTTATCCGTGTGGTAGCAGTATAGTATTTGATGTTATATTAAGATGTTCTAAGAATAACCATTTTTACCCAGATGGTTCAATTATTAGATTTGGCTATGTTGCCAAAATAAACAAACTAATTTTATTCCATGCTTTTAGCTAAGAAAAAAGAAGTTTGATAACCTATCGATGCTTTTGTTATTAATAGCATTACTACTGGGAGCAGGTAACTTTCTTTCCAACCAGTTATAAAAATAGTTAAACCATTTCAATATTGCTTGTCATTCTCAATGGGGAAAGGCAAACTTATAAATGAGCTTTTCAGCACATTTAAATGTACCTGATTGTTGTTATTTTGTTTCCTGCCGATTATAAGCTATAGCTTTTACCAATTTAACCAATAAATTCTCATTTTCAGGGTTTCTAGAAGTTCACAGTAAGTGCTTTCCTCTATTCATTATCTAAATCAACAAAATTGTCTTTTCAATCAGTTTTAAATGTTTGTCATCTTGCACCAATAATCTGCTTACATCTTATTTTGAGGAGGTGCATAATTCAGATCACACTTCATCTCACATACCACTATTGTCATTTGGGAGTGGGGCTGTGAGTTGGATATTATGTTATTGACTATGACGTCATTCGTACTGCATCCTCCTCCGGTTTTATTCATTAAATTATAACCAGACAGTCCCCCAATATAATAGCTGATCTATTGAAACAAGCAAAAATATTGAGTATTTATAAATACCTTGGTGAGTAAATATCCTTGAGTAAATATAGCTGTTGAACATAAAGGAAATGTTGCTAGTGAGTGTAGTAAATATAGCTGATAAGTGTAGACTGTAGAGTAATTTCAGCTGATGAGTGTAGATTAAATATAGCCGATGAGTGTAGCAAATAAAGCTGATGAGTGTAAATAAAGCTGATGAGTGTAGTAAATATAGCTGATGAGTGATGAGTGTAGTAAATATAGCTGATGAGTGTAGTAAATATAGCTGATGAGTGTAGTAAATATAGCTGATGAGTGTAGTAAATATAGCTGATGAGTGTAAATATAGCTGATGAGTTTAGTAAATATAGCTGATGAGTGTAGATATAGCTGATGAGTGTAGTAAATATAGCTGATGAGTGTAGATATAGCTATAGCTCGCACATCTTCTTTGCATGCTTCATTGCATGCTGTTGTTGTGTGCTGGTCGAGATTGGCACTACTGTGAATAGAGCTGTGCCAGGCAGTGTGCTACACAATGCAACAAGCAATAATCATCAAATATCCGGCTCAGTCACACACACCGCGACCTGTACAGTGAGACTATATAATAAGATTTACAGACTATCACATTGACAATGGAGATTGTGAGCATTGTGCCCTGTCATTAGTGTCAGGGTACTACTTCTCTCTCGCAATTGAAGCACGTTAATTCAGGGAGAAGTAGTGGGGGAGTTATCAGGGTGATATTGTTTAATATGACTCGAGATTATTAATCTATATCGGGTGACTGGAAAAGGCACGCGCAGATTGCTGAAGATGCTTTGTTGAGTCACGTGGATAAGAGTTAGCATTATACATTCAAAATATTCAGTTAATTCCACAGAAAAATACGCATACATAATTGTGAATGTTGCGGAGTGAATTATGCTGGGTTGATCAGATCTTTACATTGATAGATTTCTGAACAACATTTCAGTGCGCAAAAATAGCGCCGTTATTCACTCAGGAGCTTGAAAATCCATGCCAATTATATCAAGTTGATATACCCCTCATATAAGGGGTCGATATCATCCTTGATATAAGGGGTTTAAATACCCCATCTGACTACCTAAAGGAATTTCCTGTAATATGAGTGATAGTGGCGAGCATTGCACCCCGCTGTAGAGTCACAGTACAATAGCTCCTCACCACCAGTAGCAGTGTATTAATATAGCTTCTACTTGTCTACTACTCTAGGTCTCGGTATATTTAATCAAATCTCATTGTCAGGGTTTGCTGAGCTGGTTCAATATTAAAATCTGCTCGTAAATTAGATGACTTTCTACTTGTCGAGCTATGTGTGTTATTAAAGGCAGGGAGCCGATTGCTATTATACGTATTACGTAGCTCTCTCTCGATTGTAATACAGAGAATATATTCATCTACAGAATCCCCACAACCCAAACCCCTCTCGCCCTCTCCCGCGCTGATAAGTCTTTAACAGACAACTAGCTTCTACTTTAACCTCAATATTATAACATTAACAACCTGAGTTATTATGGGCCATTGCTTTAACAAGCACACAGTCCAGTAGAATAGACATGGTGTAGAGGTTACTGGTATTTTCTACTCACTAATATCGTATTGCTGAGAGTGATCCCCTTTCCGGGGTCCACAAGATTGATGATCATATGGTGTGAGAATCTAATCAAATTATATCCTGACTCTCTCTCTATGGTTGAGAGCTTGCTCTATTATAACATGAATCCGAGGTCTGACACATCGTTATGAGTTCTTCTTATTAACTCATTACGTGTGATTATAGAACGCATTGCTTGTGGGTTAACAAGCAAACATAGAGGGAATGTTAAGTTGTGAGAATAGACTTACGCTTTTGTGATCGTGTCAACTTGGTGAGCCTGGGAAATTGAGAAAATTAACACGTTGAATTCAGTGATCATGCATTTTATCCAACAAAATTTTTTGGATAGAGTGGATAAAAATGGGCAAATACGTGCATCAAATTGGTGCTCTCATTAATTGAACACGAGGCACTTCTTCCTGTCACCATTACGTGTTTACTGAACTAAAAATAACTGTGACAATCTGTTTAGCGTTCACGATAATCTTTGAAATCGATACTGGTTAAACTACGTAATCTTCTTGAAATATTCTGCTTTTTTATGTATCACTCACTCACTCATGCAAGTTTTCAATTTTAAAGTTTTTGGTTTAAAGAATAAATGATAAAGGTTACATCATAATTTTCAACTCTCATTTTCACTTATATTAAATAAAATTATATTGTTATGTATCATATGATTTTGTTAACATTGATCGGTGTATCAAAAACCGGTCCCCAAACCACTCACTCACTCACTCACTCACTCACTCACTCACTCACTCACTCACTCACTCACTCACTCACTCACTCACTCACTCACTCACTCACTCACTCACTCACTCACTCACTCACTCACTCACTCACTCACTCACTCACTCACTCACTCACTCACTCACTCACTCACTCACTCACTCACTCACTCACTCACTCACTCACTCACTCACTCACTCACTCACTCACTCACACAGACGGAGCACGTGTAGCCAGTTAGTCGGTGTAAGTAGTTAGTGTAGTGAGTTAGCAGCAACATACTACTACTAGTGACATGTACAATATTGTCACGTGGAACTAACAGCAGAACACGTGACCCATCTTGTTGACAGCAGTAAGCACATTAAATTGTTATTAATGTTTAACCCCGTTGTGTATAGACTAAAAAGAGAGGGAGATAGGGCTGAGTCCTAACATTGACAGCAAATGTATTCCAAGTACAATATTATCGCTTATACGTGGTCGTAATGCCAAATATTTGGCCTTATCCTTAAAAGCATATCACTAGCTCGCATGCCCCCTCTCTCTTGCATCCCCTCTCTGCCCACTTCTCTTGGACCTGTATCTCTCTCTCTGACCTGTATCTCTCTCTCTCTCTGGCCCCAGCCCGCTCTCTGACCAGTATCCCCTCTCTCTCGCTGGCCCTTCTTTATGTCTCCTCTCTGAACCATTCTATGACCGCCTTTCTGCCCCTCCCCATGGCTCGGATTTCTGGTACTTTTCCGGCTTATCCAATATTATATTATCGATCTTCTCTGCACTTAGTAAAATGGAGCTGGTACCTTTTCGAGTCTAGACGGAGTTGTTGCTTAAAATTTAATAGTTTAAAATATCTGAATAAATCCCTGAAAGCCCAATGATCCCCGAACCCATCCCCGAACCACATTGGCGAGCCCGATATACGATTCATAACATTATTAATCGCATTTATCAGATGTAGGCTTACAGTAGGTTGTAACCCCTAAGAAATTGTAAGGAGTGAGACTTGCATTCAAGGAAACAGTGCAGGAATTAATAAACAATCTTTTGATATTGGCGGTCTATCAATTGAAAGCTAATCACCTGCTACATCAATAAAAAGAATTACTCTTCCGTGCTACTCTTTCTCCTCCTTCACCTTTACGTGGGCTTCACAACAACAGCACTACTGCCAATGTTTAATATATTGCTTTATATAAGTAAAGAGGTCTGTACTGGGCAGTGGCCTGTATGATTGGAGTTCTACCCGGTCTCGCACGGTATCAATCTCTGAAAGTACAGTACTCAAATAGAACATGTTCATTGTTCAAACTTACTTCTTTTCAACGATATTCTTGTTGCCAGATTAGTGATATCAATTGTTAAGATTCACAATTCATTTCTCTTAGCATTATTTACCTGCCTGTTGTCACTAGTAATTGTTACTGATTGCCCACTGTTTATTTCTAGGAGAGACTGTCAAATGTGAGGATGTGATCAGTGTTTAGAACTGTGACATTATTTCAGCTTTGGTCTGTGTTAGAGTCTTTAAAACTATGGGAAATAAATAATTGGGCTGTTTTCCTGTGAGATAATATGTTAATAAGTTTGCTGCTATTTACACTAATAACACTACTGCTTGTAAGCTAATTGAGTTACCCGTGTTACACTGAGTTTCCCTGTAAAAGTTGTTCTGCAATTTGCAGCCTGCAGGTGTTCAGACCTGTTCAGCTATATATCAGCTATATGCTATATGCTATATGTCTATAGTGGATATCAGATACAGGAGTTGAGCTAAGTAACTGCTAACCATGTTTCATCTCCTTCAAATTCTTCAGAAATCATTATGTTAACCTAGAGATAACCCAGTCTGAGTAACCACTATTAGTTTTAAAGCGTTTACTTATCACTTATAATATTACAAGTCTGGTCAGGGCTGAAAGGTGTGGCTCTGGTAAGGTAAACTCTGTTCCCTGACAGATCACAGGACTAAAGTTCAGTGTGTTTCAGTTTAGACAGTGTTGTAGACAGTGTTTTAACTGTATGGTTTTAGTAGATCCTAAACGTGAACACTAACCTATACATATAAGTAGACTGAGTCTAACTTAAGGTTTTAAAGAATCCCCGTGGTCTACAGTGTTTTGGGTAAGTAGGATAGAGGCGAATTAGACATGGGTTTAAGGGGTACGGTTTCTCGACAGTTAGTGAGAACAAGAAGAGTGAGGTCACGTGATATAAACATGTTACACGTTACCATGGCCATGGCCTGGAAACACGTGACATGTACACACGTTACCATGGTAACACGTGGTAAACATGTGGGTAAATGTTGGGGAGGTGGTGCACGTGATAAATGTGATTAATTTCACCGAATGTAGCTAACCACAATATCATCCTATATTACAGGGAAACGTTTTTATATCCATAGCAACGTGTGTATTTCCATAGCAACGTGTGTATTTCCATAGCAACGCGTGTACTTCCATAGCAACGTGTGTATTTCCATAGCAACGTGTGTATTTCCATAGCATGTCTGTATTTCCATAGTAATGTGTGTATTTCCCTAGTTACCCTATACAAGCGAACAGTTTAATGTTTTCTCTGTTTATTTTGTACACGTGTGTTGCACTGTAGTATACTGACAGGGTTGCCGGGGGACCTTAAAAACCTTAAAAAACCTTAAAAACCTTAAAAACGGCAATTTTGGGCAAAAAACCTTAAAAAAGACGTGAAAAACGGGCAAATTTTCGGGTTTTTAAGGTTTTTTAAGGTTTCATACCTAAATTATACCTAGCTTGATGTTAGATCTAAATGGATTTTCCGGATTAGTAAAAATTTTTGAAATTATACCTAGCTTGATGTAGATCTGATTGGATTTTCTGAATTTATACTTAGCTCGGTGTAGATCTGATTGGATATTCTGAAATTATACCTAGCTCTGTGTAGACCTGATAAGATTTTCTGAAATTATAACTAGCTCGGTGTAGATCTGATTGGATGTTCTGAAATTATACCTAGCTCGGTGTAGATCTAATTGGGTTTTTCTGAAATTATACCTAGCTTGTTGTAGATCTAATTGGGTTTTTCTGAAATTATACCTAGCTCGGTGTAAATCTAATTGGGGTTTTTTGAAATTATACCTAGCTTGTTGTAGATCTAATTGGGGTTTTCTGAAATTATACCTAGCTTGTTGTAGATCTAATTGGGTTTTTCTGAAATTATACCTAGCTCGGTGTAGATCTAATTGGGTTTCTGAAAATATACCTAGCTCGGTGTAGATCTAATTGGGTTTTTTCTGAAATTATACCTAGCTTGTTGTAGATCTAATTAGGTTTTTCTGAAATTATACCTAGCTCGGTGTAGATCTAATTGGGGTTTTCTGAAATTATACCTAGCTTGTTGTAGATCTAATTGGGGTTTTCTGAAATTATACCTAGCTTGTTGTAGATCTAATTGGGGTTTTCTGAAATTATACCTAGCTTGTTGTAGATCTAATTGGGTTTTTCTGAAATTATACCTAGCTTGTTGTAGATCTAATTAGGTTTTTCTGAAATTATACCTAGCTCGGTGTAGATCTAATTGGGGTTTCCTGAAATTATACCTTCCCCCTTTAAGATATGATTGTAATTTCTGTATCGGAAAACCTTGAAAAACCTTAAATTTGCACCTTTATTGCATTACCTTTGTCCAAATTTTCGCACTGTGGACCTTAAAAAACCTTGAATTTAACTGTTTTGGACCTTAAAAATGGGTCAAAAGGGGCCTTAAAAGACGTGAAAAAACCTTAAAAATGACTCTCAAAAATGCCGGCAACCCTGAGTATACATAAACAAAGAATATTTCCCTGTCACTGTATTATAGCTATATTTACAGTGCAGGCTTGACACAAGTGTTATTTAAAAACCTGCTGGAAAAATAAAACCCCTTACAAGAAAATATCTAGATTTGATTCTACAAACGGAAATCAGCTTACAGATACCGTGATGAGACTAAAAACTATTTTTATTTTCTAGATTAATATTACCGTAGTGAGAGTGTTCTCGTAGTGATAGTGTTAAAAAGCACTTCACAAAAGCATCTAATGGACAAACTGCACTTTAGAAGAGATTACACCTCTCACTTTATCGGTTACTAATGGAATTTTGAGTCTAATTTCGAATTGGAAACCGCATTAATATATATGCAGACTTTTAGAAAATTATAACACTCTTAGCCTTGCAAGTTGATTATAAATCGAACACGTTAGAAATTTAAAGATTTATAATCTTAGGCAATGAGGACAGGGCACCTTGAGGCTTTAAGGCTTTACTTGTAGACCACACCCGGCAGTATTATGTAATCTTTAATCGAGTAAACTGTAAAGGGGGATTTAAAAAACCCTCTTTTCCAAGTGAAATTAACATTGCTGGAAAATGCGAAATCTGTTGTGCTTCTTTCTTGAGATAATGCATTTGAATGATGGAAAATTCTTCGGAAGACCGAACATTGCACAAATTTATTTCTCAAAGCTAATGTAAAATTAATGGGATCTTCCTGAGAATTCATCTGTATTAGCAGTAAATATGGGAAGGAAACGTAAGTTTTCCATCAAATGTCCCAACATTCTCTACTACTAAGTGGTTGTCCCGGTAAAACAAGAAATTCAGATTTGATTTGATTGCGGTTATTGAAACCTCTGTTCGGCCGAGTAGTGTTGCATTACAATATTATAACTGTTCTCATTTTATCCTTTTAAGTGGTCACGTGACTGGTGGAACTACCTCGCCTTTTCAATTTAGCTCACTTTACCCCCGCCTTAAAAATAGGGCCAAATACAACTCACTTTACCCCCGGGCCCGCCTTAAAAATAGGGCCAAATACAACTCCCTTTACCCCCCGGGCCCGCCTTAAAAATAGGGCCAAATACAACTCCCTTTACCCCCCGGGCCCGCCTTAAAAATAGGGCCAAATACAACTCCCTTTACCCCCCCCGGGCCCGCCTTAAAATAGGGCCAAATACAACTCCCTTTACCCCCCGGGCCCGCCTTAAAACCTTAAAAATAGGGCCAAATACAACTCCCTTTACCCCCCGGGCCCGCCTTAAAAATAGGGCCAAATACAACTCCCTTTACCCCCCGGGCCCGCCTTAAAATAGGGCCAAATACAACTCCCTTTACCCCCCGGGCCCGCCTTAAAAATAGGGCCAAATACAACTCCCTTTACCCCCCGGGCCCGCCTTAAAAACAGGGCCAAATACAACTCCCTTTACCCCCGCCTTGAAGATACAACTCCCTTTCCCCGCCTTGAAAAAACTATTTTTCTTAGTAGAAATATACAAACAATATTCGACACTGGGGGATTTGAGTAGGGCACTCACATTTTACTTATTTTAGGTTAATGAACTGAAAATATTTGTTGTCCATCCACTGGTGGGGGATATAAGCAGTCAGTTATCCGGCCACCCACCTCATCACATAGTTATAACTGTTCCTGCTTATCAACTTCACATACTAAATGCTCTGTGATCATCATATCAATATATCGTGCCACCTATTAGTGTGCAATGTAGCTGACTCACAAGCAATAATTCACCGCACGTGTGACCGTCAAACCAACCAATCAGAGAACAGGGATCCAGTCCAGCTGCCCAATAAGAGAAGGGATGGGGATCAGCTGATCTGCTATAGTCACAACGCTATGTTAGAGAGGCAGCTCTGCGAGCAAGGGATTATGTCACTCATTTTCTGAGCTATGGGAATCTAATCTTAGGGTGTAATTAGATTTATGAAGGAGCGCAACAAACATTTTGTGTGTGATTTTTACACTGAAATTAGATTAATAACTATTGATAACCCGCTGGAAACTGCTAGGGTATCCTCACTTACCACGCTCTCGGAATTTAAGGTCTAGGAGAATCGGGCGGTGCGACGTCTGTGAATAGGTTAGAGGGCCCGTTAAAAATAGGGATAAAAGTTAAACATTATCTCGATCTATTCTAATGAATCTTAGATTGAGTTTTTTAAAGAAGATACCATCAATGTGTAGGGTCGCAATAGTTAAGACAGCAAATAGATCACAGCTGTTACCATGTCAAAGTTTTTTTTATGCATACGATAATTGTTGTTTTTTCATAAAACACCAGTATAATATAAATGGTTTATATTTCTTTTATCTGAATATATCTTATCTCTTATAAATATAATAGTAAAAAAACACTTTGAATAAGAAATGAAAAGGGCAGTATAAAAGTATAAATATAGTTATTAGTTATTCTCAGTAACTTCAAGTTAATTATCTGAAACAAGGAAACGCTTATCGGACATTATATATATAATGTGCTTATGTTGGCATTTTCGTCTGGGATTTAAAGATTAATGGGCATGTTTTTTAATCACGTGTTATCGCATTCTTTATGACACGATCCTATAAGTAAAAGCCATCACCGAAGATTAAATTTCTGCAACTGTACATGTTTAGAAAATATGGCTCTCTAGAGATTATTAACCAGGCCGCAGAGTTATGTATGGTTCGCCCCTCCAGTCGTCAAGCAATGATGGTAATGAGTGGTCTGTGTTTAATTTACCACATATCCCTGCCTCCCGGCTCCCTGCCTGCCTCTCACTCGCTCTCTCCTCTCTGTCTATCAGTGGGATTATTGGCGTGGTGCCAAGTTTAGAGCTAGAGCACGTACTTTACTATGTACAGAACTTGCGATAGTACCCGCATGCAGCTCTATAACATACACTATATTGTAGTGTGTACACAGCCCAACTAGACTAATGACATACGAGAATCAGTTCTATTTGGGCTAACAATGTGTATAAATATTGTACATAATTATGTTGCATCATGTTGTTTATTACGGCATGTTGAATAATTAGTTTGAAGGTATGTATGGGTAGTGGGTACCTGGACCAACCCTTTTGGTGGATCACAATAATACACACGGTCACTACTCAGTACTCAGTACACATCCCCACTTAACAATATATACACTTGCTCATTACACTAAATTACTAAACTGCTTTATAAATTCCGAAGTGAAAATGAAAATGGAGGATGAAAAGTCCTTGATGAGTCACAATAATCCGTATTAAAAAACTCCAGCCCCATTTCACGAGAAGGGGGTAATTCATTTTTAAAAGCCCCATTTTTCATACATTCTTTCCGTTCATTTTATGGCCGTATTTTGTTAAAAGTGTATAATATTTGCTTGTGTTTCAGGCCGAGCTGACACTAGAGGGACCGGTACCCCTCTGAACGCCATCAGGATATGTCAGGGTGACACCACCAGTCTAGTGTGTCCTGAGGGTCGGGTTCTCAAGATCTACACTGCTCAGTACGGGAGATTCGTATCCGGACAGGAGTCATGTCCCCACAAGAGTGTCAGGTACCTCACTGACTACAACTGCATATCAGATGTTACACCTTGGATGGAGATGCAATGTGACAACAAGAAGGAGTGTGTTGTCAAGGCAACTAACCGGAATTTGGGTGATCCGTGCAAGGGTATCTACAAACATCTGGACATTGAGTTTTACTGTGATCTGGCTCCTCCTCTATCCACTAGTGAGTTTCACTTTCATTTTACCAATAATTAGTTCCAATTTTAGTTAAATAAAACTCTGTTATCAGCTATCAAGTTGTTCTTTTTGTCTGCTCAAAAACTCCTGTATAATAGATTGGTATTGAAAACTGTGGGACGGAGGAAGCTGATTTCTATAGTGGTGAATTTTCCCTCAAGACACAGCTGTAGTCTATGTTTATGACGGTTAGGAAGAAGCGGGGAATGCGAATTTCAAATACTCATCAACCAAATTGAGACATTTCAGTATTTATTTATGACAAAATTAATAGCAAGTTATGAGTTGGTTCTAATTTCGTTCATGGGGTCCCGTTAAAACTTCCCTCATCACTAACCACACTGATAAATACGCTAATACTCTCTGCTAAATCTACTAATAAAAATAAAAATGCTAACAATCCCCCGCATTAGACTCCTTCGTCCGTTCAGCCCCAATAAAACCCAATACCCGGACCATGGCACCGACCTCCCCCAACCTCTCTGTAACAATATATTACCCTTAACGACCATCTCCCCACCAATTGAACCCCCGTTATTTGATACCCATTTTCACGGTACGATCCCGGAATTAAAACCATTGACTTAGTTCATACTTAGACTTGAAGGCATAGCCTCGTACTGAGTTGCGGGAACTGTTAACCTAGTGGAACAGTTCCCCAACCCTCCCCAAACCTGCCCGGTTATTATAATATAATAAGTAATGTGGTGGTTATTATATTATTGAATATAGACTGATTATGTGAGCTCTATTGGAGTAATGTTGTGATATTTATGATAATAGCTGGTTAGAGGGAAATGTAAGCCAAGTAGGGGACAGTAAAGTATTATTTGTTGAAGAGTTGTGTTGTTATTTTAACGCAGGTGCAATGTGGCCTGACTGGCTAGCACATATTATAACACCTGCAGCCGCCTCAATAAGAACAATGATAGCGGGGTAGATTTGAGGCACATTTAAATATATTGCTCCTTTATAACATTTACCGTTTTGGGGAGAGATGTTTAAAATGCGCTTCTCTTGACTGGTTTTAAGAGACTGCTGTTAAACAGGTCTTTAAAATTAAAGAGGTTTGGGGGATTTTTTCTATAAGCAGTATAATTACGGAGAGATATTATTGGAATTTAAAGTATGTAACGGTTCGTTACTTTCAGCTCCCCCACTCACCACAGAGAGACAGTCCCTTTCCAAGCAGGTTGAGAAGTGCACCAAGCTCTACACATCTGTAAGTTATTTATTTTTCATGCGTTTACTAAATTTCAATTATATTCATATTTTCGGTTAATAGGAATATTAGATTAATTAGTAATAACCTTAATTAAGCTTAGGGAACAAACTTTTAAAAAAAATTAATGATCCTAAGTAAAAATTAAAGCTGATTTATTAATACAATGCGTATGATAGTTTTAGCAGCGGGGTTATGTTAAATGATATTACGTCAAAATTTGAAAGCATTCATGCTTTACCGAAATTTTAGTTGGCTTTTAAATTAGTCGACGGCTAATTTAATCTCAGTAAATTTTGTTTAAAACAATGTTAGTCTTAAGATTTGACTAAATTTATAGTAGACTAATTATTTGGTTCTTAACGTACATGCTACAGTATGATACAACATTCACCATCTTTGTGAACTCCTTCTAATTAACCTTTCCTGTAAAAGATGTAAAAACCTGGAAGACAAATTTGAGCATAGTATTCTTTCAGATCTTAGATTCTGACGATAACAAGGAATGCGATGCGTTACAAGCGTACAAGGACTGTCTTCTGAGCGTGGAGGCAGCGGACCCCAGCTCTGCTGCTGATATTGACAGAGTCATGCCCACTCTTAATGGAGACCTCGAGAGTTGTTATTCTGCTAGCCGTCGTGAGTATTCTTATCAATAGTTATATATAGCATTACTTTATTACTTTAACAATTACTAATACTTACATTAACAACTAGTAGTTACTTTAGCAACTAAAAGTTAGGGCAGTATGAATATTTTCTGGGAACTAATTTGCCACAAGCATTTCTGGGCAGGAAATAGGAATGTGTTGTTTATAGTCCCAGGAACCACCGCAAAAAGTTGTAAAAGTAGATCTGATGGGCACAACTAGCTAGAGCATTATTATTTTCTCCAGGCGCCCTAAGAGGCTAAGAACAAACTTTAAAAATTTGTTTCTGCCATTAGGAAGGCACTCGGAAGCTTTGTAGGAGGTGCTAAATGACCGTTATGGTCACATGATGGCAGGCGAATGAGGGTATGAAAGTGCTCTGACCATCGTGAATCGAGATATTTTAATGCTTTGAAAATCCCTCGTATTTTTGATTAATTTTCCTAACTTTCGTTTGAAAGGTATTACCTAGACTTCCGGACAAGTGCAAAAAGGCCGCAACTAGCACATTTATTATATACCTGACTTGTGAAGCAATATATGACCTAAAACACTTTTCGAATTATTAACGAAAAGCTGATTTTTGGAGCTTCGCAAATTTAGAGAAAATATAGGTGGGTTACAAATTGGGCTTGAAAGATGACAGAGGCTTCCGAATAGGGGCAAAATGTTCGCAATGGCCATAATTAAGTAATTATATACAACTTCTGGAGCAATATATACCCTAAAATGGTATGGGTTTAAGTTAAACTGTATCATGAAGTAGCTGATCAGAACATATTGTGGTAAATTAGTTCCCAAATTAGTTCCCAAAATAGTTCCCAGATGGTGCTTTATATTATTTATGGCTACTGTCCCTAAATAATATATACCTTCCATTCAACTTTAGCTTTTAACTTTAAGTGAGGGACAAATCTAAATGCAAGGGGGAATTTCAAAGTTGTTTAGCTTTCATACGTACATTTTATAATTCAAAATATTCTGCCTTTAAGTAGAATAGTGCCTGTGACTACTTTTTAGCTTCAAGTGAGGAACAGTGAACACAGCTAAATGGAGTAATAGAGATTTATTCATGTCTTGAATTCCAACGTTCTGCATAGATGGTCGAGTAGGAACTTGAAATGTTTGTTAGTGGTCAATGAACCTAAGGAGCGATGGATAAGCAGGGATAAGCACTGTTCGGTGTTCGCTAATTATTGAATCACATTTTGTAAATATGAACCGGCCTGTACTGCATACCCACAACTATCAACACAGTCTTTATAACCGCAAGAAGAAGTTAAAAAAGCTTATTCTTGAATAGCTTGTGTTGCTTGGCTGACTTTGCGACTGATTATTATTGTTGCTAGAAAGTCTGATTCAGCTAAATCTGGCCGAGGTCCCGAGGATGTAAGGATTTTTAGAGTCACAGGACCCCTCTCTCCGTGTAAGAATGTCCGGGAGGGTAGACACTCTCGTCTCGGTGAGTGTGATCCCTTACATCACCCGTACATCTACACATCCCTCCTAATGACCTGGGCCCCACTAATGACCTGATGGGGCTAAAGATCAGCTCACATTTCGTCACTTCAGTTCCACTTCACACATGCCTGCATTCCAGAAACGTGACGTCACTCCTTATCTCATACTCTCCGGCTTCCCCAAACTGTCATTTCAACTCAACCCCACTAACCTATATGTAATCTTGTGTGTGTATGCAATGATCCGATATATATTATATATTACTCTCTATTTACTTTCCCTATCAGCCAATCCCGCGTCTTGCTAGACTAATTCTCCCAATCCCAGAGCAGTATTGAGACCACGTGATCAGCATGTGTGAGTTATATACGGAGTTTAGAGACCGGGAGTTAGAGGGAGTGTGATATTAACTAGTCGTCATCCTTGTCTGGAGAGGGAGTTTCTCATTTCACAAACTTTACACATCATCCGCTGCTAACCAACAACACGCTGTGTAATGACCGGAGTCTTACCGGAAGCAAATGTGAGCGGTGAGAGAAAACAGGTCTGCTGTTCGATAGACCCGGTCGGAATCACAAGAATGTTGAAAATCAGATCGGAGTTGGAACGCATGACTCACAAAACAATCCTGGGAATTAGATTTCCTATCGCTCTTTCAGTGAGAGCAACAACACTGAATAGTGAATACACGCCCAATATTACATCTCTCACTATTCCTTACCTTGTGACACAGTGTGTAGTGTATAACCCACCCTTGTAACAGTGACACTGTGTGTAGTGTATAACCCACCCTTGTAACAGTGACACTGTGTGCAGTGTATAACCCACCCTTGTAACAGTGACACTGTGTGTAGTGTATAATCCACCCTAGTGACAGTGATACTGTACAGTGTATAATCCACCCTTGTAACAGTGACACGGTGTGTACTGTATAATCCACCCTAGTGACAGTGATACTGTACAGTGTATAATCCACCCTTGTAACAGTGACACTGTGTGTAGTGTATAATCCACCCTAGTGACAGTGACACTGTGCAATGTATAACCCACCCTTGTGGCAGTGACACTGTACAGTGTATAACCCACCCTTGTAACAGTGACACTGTACAGTGTATAACCCACCCTTGTAACAGTGACACTGTACAGTGTATAACCCACCCTTGTAACAGTGACACTGTACAGTGTATAACCTACCCTTGTAACAGTGACACTGTACAGTGTATATTGTATAACCCACCCTTGTAACAGTGACACTGTACAGTGTGTAACCCACCCTTGTAACAGTGACACTGTATAGTGTATAACCCACCCTTGTAACAGTGACACTGTACAGTGTGTAACCCACCCATCCGAGCGTGTACTTAATACTGATCTATAAACTCTATGACTAGAGTAGGATTACCGATCATATGGGTTCTTATACAACCTCTTGCTACTTACCCTACTTGCTACACTTTGGGTTAGGGGAGTATCTCGGGAGACTTGAGAGGGGTAACTACTCTGAAGTTGAGAGAGTACCTGTGGTAACTGGTAACTGGTAACTGGTAACTGGTAACTGGTAACTGGTAACTTGATGCAGTACTAAATACAAACTGATGCGTGGCTGCTTTGTTTGGCAAACAAGTTTGCGAAACTTAACTGGAATCATATTATAGGCATTAAATCGTGGACCATGTGCATATATGAATAAACATTATGTTATTACTTATTTTTTATAAAGTTACAAAGAACATCATAAGTAGGTACTAGGTCTACAGTAATATGTAATATTCCGCTATTGTACTTATAATACATAATAATATTCAGTTAATAGATATATGGCACAATGTTACATGATTATGGATATTCGACACTTCAAATTCAGTAAATGTCACTACTAGATATGTAATAATATGTCGGACTCTATCATGTGTAAAATTACAACCTTGACATAAAGTGTGGTCTGATCTAGTTGAAGTTATGAGACTTCACGTAATTAGAGTGTAATGTCCAATAGTAGTATTAGCTTCTTTGCGCTGCACGGCAGGCTGGAAGACAGCTCAGATATTGAACTGTTCTTAATATTCGGTCCCTGAGCCTATATTAAAGTGAAAGTGGGGATACAAGATGTGATTTAAGTGCCATTTTATGCCGAAACATGACATTGATGTGGTATTGTTATCAACTATAGTTGTCTCAATTTTAAAAAATGTTGGTATTCTCTAATTCTCTAGTAGATTCTATTCACTTCTCAACAGAAAACCTTTTCGTAACAAAAGAGAAACATATGCACAAAGGAGAAACATATGCACGTGCACGGTGAACCGTGTTTTACACGTGCCAGTGTCGGAACATGCCAGTCCCCCCACAAAATATATTTAGTTCACAGCTGTTAAACAGCTACACCGGAAAACAGTCTGATCTTTTAACATTTTCATTGTGATCACTAATTCACACCAGACTGTCCAATAAATATATTGAGAATTCTCTGATTGCATACTGCTTGATTGCTGAGAATGAAGAGTGGAGAATGAATTCCCTCTCTCTATCGGGAGCTCCAGACTGGTCTGATAAAGTATGTAATTAATTATATTGAACCTGGTCAAATGGTTTCATCTCCCACAGCTCAGGATTTATTTAATAACGGTTCTAATTGTGGGCTCCCCCCAGATGGTTACCAAGCGAGAAAGTCTGATATTTCAGAAAATTGGGAGATTAGGTTTGGCCTCTATGCGGCCACTATGCGGCCACTGAAACCATGCTTGGTGTAGCTCGTTGGGATAGTATAGGAATTTAAGTTCCTATAGTTTGGAATGAGGTAGTTGTCTGTTCACAGATCGCCCTCTAAACTTACAAGGAAATATTTCCTGTAGATCCTTGGTATATAAGCAACATTTGACAGAGCATAGTTATAGTGTGGAGTGAGCTATGTGCCCATCCTTGGAGTACCCGGTGGATGTCCCTGCTGTACGGCAGAGTTAAACAAGGAGCTGAAACCGAGGGGTTCCGTTGAGGCCCTTCACACTTTGTTTCTGTCTGGTTCTAATGTACCGTCACAATAGTGACTTTAATATATTTCTTTAAAACTCACCAATTGCAATGAGCAAAACCACGGTTAGATCCACGCTGGAAGCCATGTCAACATTTATCTCTGTCGTTGTAAACCCACTGTAAAATCACGACTTACCGCCTGAACACTTAAAACAAAGTAACAACCCGTTGTAAATGTAACCAGAACCTTGAACTTTGATTTGATTAAGTAATCAAATCAGCAAGAGTTACACTCGGAATACTTTGTGTGTCTACTACACCTTAGTTAAGTAATTATATCATTATCTCGTTACACAATTACATGTACTAACTGCAATGTAAAACACTACTTAACTCTCTCTCTCTCCCTTTGGATAAACTTCAAGTAGTTAAATGGTTCTTATTTAAAGCCTTTAAGAAAAGCACTTATATTGGCTGTTATACACTAAGATTATATTGGCTGGCAACAGCTCAAATTATTAGAAACACTGAGGAACCCTGCAAATGCGCCCCCAGATGTCTAGGCTCGGGACGTCTCACTTAATATAAAATTAGCTATTCGGTAAAAGTTTCGATGAGTTCACCACCTAAGGGCTGATGAGTTGCGTAGTCGAGTAATAAGGGAGGGGGGACGGGAACTAGTGCACACAAAACCAATACAAATACAGGACAGAACTAGACACGTCCCGTCTGGAACAGACTACCTCTACACTACTGGCCGGTTACGACTGTCTAAATCTTACAACTCTGTAATATTATCATAATTAATAACATTATGTGATAATATTATTATCATGTTTCCATCAGTGGGCTAGATAAGACAAGGGACGAATGTGCTGTGTAGACCATCTCCACCCGCTACAATTATCAGGGCCCGCACAAATTACAATAAGTTGTAATATATGTTCTAATATTATTATAACCAATACTAATGAATGTAAATGAACTGTGTTGGTCTACAGATCATCGGGTATAGAAACATTGCCAGCACCATTACTAGGTCGGGTATACAGAGAAACATTGTTTTCAGCACCATATTATCAATATGTAACATTCAGCAAATACCAGAATAATATATGGCGGAGGCTGGAGGAATGTTTAGAAATGTTGCTTTGAACAGTGAGTGGCCAGGTTGTGTTATCAGTCCGTGTTCATTAGGGTGGGGATTGGTCAGGTGTTTACCTGTACTTAAGAAGCTTCTAGAAGAAAGGAGTGGTTTGAAAAGAGGGTCCTGGATCAGACCTCACTCTCAGTCTGAAACATTCATCCATCTCAACTAATTTATATCCAAACTAATGGAAATACCAGGCATAGTGTTGTTCATTGGTTGACAGTTCTTTGTTTTGACAATAGTGCTGAGCTTCTCCTCTAATCGGTCACATTAACGGTCCGTTATGTTCATTAGCGCGTCTGCTGAAGGCAATGATAGTAGTCTATAACTGACGTAATGAGACAAACATCAGGTTATATTTACAATGGACAGTTTACTTTAAGTCATCCTGCCTTGGTTACTGCTTTAAGAGATTAATGGAAGTGTTTATGAAGATTATGACAGTCATTTTTGAAACATTTCACGTGTCTTTGAGCGCGCGCTTTGAGATTATTTTTTGCTACATCTGTATCCTGTAAGTATTAGCATAAAACACTGCACAGTGTTCCCGGCCATCATTTAATCAACTACTCAATTAATTCCCAAATTAATCATTTAGTTAATCACATAATTAAAAACTTAACTTACTTTTATTTCAGAGCCTCTGGTTATGTTGTGTAAGCACGCTAAACTTAAGGGAGAGTGTATTAACATAACTCAAGCTACCTCTCAACTCGAGGAATTTGACAACGCCGTAAGTCAACTTTCTTACGTATAATGATTATAAATCAATAAATTCGGACTTTACACGCTTCTGCTTATCAAACTTTTGAGTTTGATATAATTTATAAAGCCATTCAGTATTATAGACGACAGAGTTTTATGATATATCTATAGTGTTGTGATAAAGAGAAACTGTTAAGTTTTGTTGAAACTTAACTTACTTAAGCACTATCACCAACACTAGACACTAATATACAGTGTCTTGTACTCTATATTATGCATAATGCATTTATTTTGCAGTTATATTATCCAGTATTATTACACTCCACCATGGCTAAATAACCTTAGTTATTTACCGCGGCACAGTGTGTTAAATACGGTATGACAACTTGAGTATGCCGTTCAACTTAAACGCCAATTTGTGTACAATATCCCGTTAATTTGTCCTGTTAATCTGTCCTGTTTTCGAGTAAAAAGGTTTACGTTGAGTTTTTAATACCAAAACACTCCCTTTACTTCTCAAAACTACACCAATCTAAATGTAACCTTGTAACCTTGTAACCTTGTAACCTTGTAACCTTGTAACCTTGTAACCTTGTAACCTTGTAACCTTGTAACCTTGTGCAGGTAAAATCACTGAAGGTGTTTACTGGAAACTGGGCCCTGTTCTCTGAAGCTAACTACTCCGGAACTGAAGACAGAGTAAAGCCTGGTTTCACCAGTCATTGGTTGGGAATATACGCTCCTATTGAGGGAGAACCTATTTCTCTTTACTCCAACGATCTCTCTTCTCTCAAACCCGTCGGTATGTTTCATTGTTTCCTCCTTCGTTTGTTTGTGTATATTCTCTATTATCACGGAGGTCGGAGACCTTATCTCGCGATTTATTTTAAAAGGCTTCCTGTAGGCTGTAAGTTCAGTGGAAATAACTCGTTGTTTTCACCCAAGTTCCACTAGTCGTTATCCATTATTTATACTGTGTTAATTAATATTTAAATTCACATGATTGCAAAATCATTCATGATTATGACGGAAAATAAAAGAAACGTAATTTGTGCGCTTATTATAACCCAGTCTCACGGCATAAATATCCAGAATATCTCCGGAAGAAGTAACATTAGCACAATATCATGAGCACAGGTTACAGGTCTACAGAGATCATTATATCTACGACCTGTGACCACGATCTGTTGTTTATATCTTGTTTATATCTTGTTTATATCTTGTTTATAACAATTTCATAACTCGTTTATGACTTGTATATTTAAACTTACTCATCTCAGGTGAAGTGGACGCAGCATTTATCTACGAGTACACAGACACTACTCTTCTACCCACTTCTGGTATGATATATCATTAGCTAACAGATTATTTAAATAAAGAAAATATAACTTACAATCATTAGTTTATTTCTTAAGTGATTTATATTTAATATTTAAATGATTAAATTGATTTATATTTCTCCATGTCTTACACTAGTTTACATCCGGGATCTTCTTTTTAATATCATAAGCTGGAGATTACAAAACAGGGACTTTAAAATCTGAAACGTAATTCCTTAGTGAGGATGACATTAAGATGAGATTAAGATGAAAATGTACAATGTATAATGTAGTGTAAATGTATAATGTGTAAAGTAGTGTAAATGTATTATGTGTAATGTAGTGTAAATGTACAATGTATAATGTGTAATGCAGTGTGAATGTACAATGTATAATGTATAATGTAGTGTAAATGTAGCTTGTAAATGTGCGCTGTTTTACTAATTGGTTTCCCTAGTTTTCCTAGCCAGTCAACATGTCTCCAACCTAAAACCGACCTGTCAAACACTTCCTACTAAAACACTGTACACGTTACACACATTACTTAATCACGTGATATTTTACACTGAAATTCTTGGCACTGCTCCAGCATTGCCCCGTTTCTTAATGTAATTACTAAAAGTAAGTCTCGTACATGATACCGGCTAGCACACTAATTCGGCCGGAGTGAGATAGCATCAGGCTAGGTGTTTCAAGTCTGGTCAAGTGTGAAGTAACGATATTGGATTGCTTGCTACATTATATCCCTACTCTTTCTGAGAAATACTTTTACACGTACTTACACTCGTATAACTTACACACATGCATACTTACACACGTTTTATAAATATTAGGTATGTGAGGCTATCAGTTGTTGTGTTGACTACTTACTACACTCTAACGGAGATTACTTAAAAGTGCTCATGTTAAATTGTGATATCATTACTTTACAAGATATACTTTACATGAATATTGTATGTAATATGTTTTATTGAATAATATGTAATATGGTAGAATAGCTGGCGATAGATTAAGAAAAGTATTTGCATTCAGTGCAGTAGTATTTTTCTGGCGTCGAGAATTCTCCACGGTGCTCAAATATGTTTAACAAACTTTAAAGATTTGTTATTTATTTGACAAGTACTGCAATTTAAAAAAGTTCTATTATAAAGGATTATAAGGGATTTGGAAACTAGTTATACATTAGTGGTGACCTGGATAATACAGAATTATAATTATTAATTTCTATATTTATTCAATAATTATTCAATTATTCAATTAATTATTCAAACTCATGTTATTGATCAGACCAACTAATAACAATTTACTTCAGACTACAACACAGACGTGAAGTCTACCCCTGACTACAGCGGAATTTCGTACTCCTACTCCGAACCAGCGAAACCCAGTGTCACCACAGCTGCTGTTGACCCTACTGATGCCGGCTACTCAAACTGGGTCAACTTGGACGACATTTCAACGTCAAAACATCCAGATATGTTAGTTATCAGTCTTACAGTTTTAGTGAATTTTAGCACTTTGCCTATGTATTGTTTTTAGTACTTCGTCTGGTTTTGGTTTGCTTTTTGAGAAGAGACATACAATATGTTGAGTCTGGATAGACACGCAAATGGTCGCCCTGACTAGAATAATATTCTTAATAGAATTTCACTGATATGATGTGCTAGGCTACTTGGGATCACTTTGTCTAAATCGCCTGTTTACTGTAGTGGGACACCGCTTGCCAGTTTCTAGGCTCTGCCGGCAGCCGTTCTGCATTGATTAAGATGTGCTTTTTGCGCGTTCCCAGTATGGGCGCGCGCATTATTTGGCGCGCTCGTTGGTAAGCTAAGGGTTGGGCGGGCATGTGGTCGGGTAATAGCAATGTGTTGATAGGTAGATAAGTTGGACGTATAAGAGATTGTTAATTGGAATCACTTCACACTATAATTCTCCGTACAATAACATATTATCTCAGGTGTCGCTCTACATACTGTCTACTCGGTATCAGAGTAATATTCAGTCAGATCAGATCTGTCACCCTGCCAACCAGGCAAACTGTCGAGGATATTATTCTTTCTAGACTTCTTAACGTCTACAAAATATACCCCGAGCAGGTGGGTCGTGTTATTTACACGTTGATATTTAATAAGTAGTAATGCATGCCAGTAAATAATGGTTTGTGTTAGAAACACATTTTAGGATTGTAATGAAAGATCTTACTATCCGGCATCCTTATTACTCCTTAACAAAGGAATCTCAGCCAAATTTAAATTCAATATTTTATTGTGAGTTTTCGATTTAAAAATTTGAGAAATTCACCATTTTAAACATATCTACTATCCGTCAGTTGGTGTTGGCTGAGATCGTAAAGAGATCTTCTGAAGTTATTCTGGAGATAATAGATATGAAAGGAGCCCCAAGGAGGGTGATCGACATCGCTATTGAGATCGAAGAAGATGTAAGCTTTACTAATTGTCACTTAATTGATATATGCAGTGGGAAACTTAAGTTGATGAGATGGTGAAACGGTCGTCTGTCATCTAGCTGCATAAAGTTGGTTTAAGTTTTGTTATTTAACATGTGAGCGTCCCCTCCCTGTAACTGAAATCTTCTCAGATTAAACACGAGGAGTTCACATTCACTTTGGGAGACACAATGATAATACCGACATCAGACCGATACGGAGTGATGCTGAAAACTATCAGTGAAGAGTTCCTCCCCAAGAGAATACATATCGTCACCAAACCTATTACTGACGCAGAGGGTTAGTTATATAACGGCTATATAATATAACGGCTATAATATAATGCCGATATATTCGGAGTTCGGACAGATTGTCTTTATTTATCTTGTCATAGCTGCTCTGATATTTGCGATAATCTTCATCAAGGGCGTGAACATGGGCGAGATACTTGTTTACCATAATACCGTTTAAGTTAAAAAGCATTAATTTTGTATTTTAATAAAATGTCTCTCTAGTACCGTCCTCGACTGTTTACACGACAGAAAATAACAAAGTGGAAACTTTGATTCCTGAGGAGGAACCCGAGGAGCCAACAGACAACAGCTTCGAAGGATTACAAGATACCGTGATAGAAACTTATGAGTTAGACGCTTCTGGTATCCCCAGGAAATTCTTCTACCCTCTGCTCGCCACCGCTCTTCTTCTCTTCGTAATTGCGTGTGTTATTGTCTCAACTGTGGTTTACAAGTGCGCTCAGAGCAAGGACTACACGCTCATCAAGAAGGCGCCCAGTAACATCTACATTGATATTGATTCTCCTCCAGAAAAGAAGATTGAGGTGAGAACTATCATTTTTATTTTAGTTTTAAAACTAAAATACGTTAAAAAAATACGTTAAAACGCATCTTCTCTGCTACACTGTAGATTTTTTAGCAACCAATAAAATCATGTAATTGCGTTGATTCCCCCCGTTGATTGCATGAAAACAAATGTTATTTCCATGATGTTAGTTTCAAACGGGCAAATCTCCCGACAAATCTTCTATTATAGACTAGTATAGTAGCTGCAGTGGTTTGATTTTTTCCGATATAAAAACTTTAACTTTTTCAGGGTTTCGAGAATCCGAGTTATCTGTTAGAAGAAGTTGAGCACATGTGAAGAATAGTTGTCATAGCAACGACCCACCTCCCTAATCACCACGATAAGTATCGCCTTATCACAGACAGTTAAATCTAGTGACTTTGTTATGTGTCACGTGATAAAAAACTCAGTCACGTGCGCGCTCACGTCACGTCATTCACAAATAAGGCAGTTGACCTGTTTGTTGCCACGGCAACGCAAAGCGTGGGGTTTAAATGCACATGTTAGTTTCGCTTGAAAGTTTCGTGAACTGTGAAGCAATAGGGACCGCTCAGTTACCGTCGCATTTACTATGTTAATGATAAGCTGTAGATTGGAAAACTGAGTGTAGATTGATCTTGACATGGAAATAGGAGGGAAGCGAAATGGTGGAATGTGTAATGGTGGAATGTGAAGTTACCGTTACCTGGTTACAGAAAGAAGCTTGACTATTTCAAACATTTCATTCTCAACATGTAAAAGAGAGAGAAAGAGAGATCATCTACCCATAATTCTGGGTTATTGAAGACTTTTGGCGTTTTTATGGCAACTGTACAGTTTAAATTAGTCCTTCTTAACAAATCAGTCATCTAGAAAGATATAGTAGTTACCAAGCAACAAATAGCGGTTACCTAGCAACAAATAGCAGTTACCAGTCCATCTCACAACTGGTTACTGATGGACTTCTGGCCTTATTTTTAAATGTAATATTTTGCATGTGACAGCTACCTCATCACAACAGTTAGTCAAAACTCTTTTATATAATTTTTACGCACTGTACTGCGAGATGAAAACTTTATTAACTTTATTTTGTACGCCCGTTTCATACTCTAGTTTAGTCCATTTCAAAATATTTAAACCAAAGTTTTAATCAAAAGTTTGAAATCCCGATTTATAAGGAGTTTAAGGTTGAAGTTAAAATTTTCCAACGTGAGCTTGGATGTTTTAAAGTGTACGCTACATTTCTGTTCAGCTACTGTGTAATTAAATATTTCTCATATCAGCCGTGGTTCAGATAACCCATTTTACCATGATAACCCTTCTGTTACCATGATAACCTATCAGTAGATTTCTGAAATTTGTTCAGATTTTAGAGCGCAGGAAAATTAAAGGCACAGTCACGTGTCCCTCACGTGTTTGATAACGATATTCAATTTCATGTTCTCTGAACCACAACACTAATTTTTCAATGTATATATTGCTCAAAAGTGGAAATTTATGTTTTTAACAAGCTAGATTTTTCCATTTTTAATTTAACTAGACTGTGATCGGTTTAATAATCGGATGCATTGAAGACTGAGATACAAATCACTCCCTACGTTATCTACCAACTTCCTTTAATCGTCCATCCATACATATCCCTCCCCTACACTCCCTTTCCCTCCCCTACATTCCCTTTCCCTCCCCTACACTCCCTCCCGTACACTCCCTCCCTACCTCGTCCCTTTCCCCTCCCTCTACCTCGTCCCTCACTCCTTATCATAAATAGTTTTGGCCAGGTTTATTTCACCCTGTGTCTCAGTGGTTGGTGTACACTATTTCATATTTAAACATGTTTTAATCTCCTACATTCGTTGAGCACGAAGTTTGTCTTGAATTGAAAGTTACGGTTTGTGCAACTTAATAATAGCGTCCTAATGACACCTGCCATTTTGTTACGTGTAAAAGTTTAAGCCGCCTTTATTTTTTATTATATACCAACCTTGACCTGGGACTCAGCATCGTTTGTCAAATTTGAACTGTAATGATTGTCCAAGGTAATTAAAACTTTGATACCAACTTCTGTGTATTTCTCTACTATTTATGATTTAGCAAATTCAGATGAAAAATAAAGCCAATCTTGCTTCAATTTTAGTTTAGATAATATTATGCATTAATGATTCATGATTAAGATAGTTTTACAAAACCATTATTGCCCATGTATGTTCAATTACTCGACCGTAAAATGACCTATTGAAGGAGTTGTTATGTAAAGCTGGAGGGAGTTTGTAAAATAATACACTAGTGTAATTTCAATACGATAGCGATGTGTAAAAATAAAATGGCTTATGAGGGAAAGATAATCTGAAATGCGGCTCACGATATATATATCACTATGAAAGTTCCTTACTGTCCAAAAATGGACAGTATTAAATTTGCTAAATTTTGTTAAATTTTGTTAAATTTTGCTAAAATTTGCTAATGAGGCAGGGTGATACTTTTTCAAAAAAGTCATATTTTATGTGGTTCACCCTATAGAGTACTAGAAACCCGCTAGTCGAAAGCTTTGTTCGAGGAAATTTTAAAAATCAGTTATGTTTTAATTTCTCTTCATCATACAGCACTGTTATACAGTAGACATAATGGAATTTATTTAACAATGGCGACAGCGTTGTTAGTATTCGGATTCCCAAAACGATACTTTTTACCGCATCAAAGAATACCAATCACAACCAAAGTTATGAATATAAGTCATAGCGTGAGCGTAAATGTGAGCTAGTTTTGAAGTTATGACGTAGCATATAACAGCATAACAACGCGCGTAGTTAAGATGTTCTTGCTCGCGCACGTGCATTTTTATCGTTGCTACGCAACAGCGCAGTAAACCTTTGCTAAAATAACGCCATTATTCTAACGATTATTTAACCTCACTTCTGACGTTAATTATAAAAAATCTAAAGCCTAAATCAAAATTCTAAGAATGCTATAGCCTATTCCTATCCTTTTTCTACAACCCTGCTAAAAATGGCAAGGTTTCAACTCCATTTGCGAGCTGGGTTTGGCATCACCAGAGGGTCATTTTGAGGTCGATTTTCGGTGTTTTTTCTTCTATGTCCCCGTTGCCGGGGAAATTTCGTCAAGTTTAAATTATAGTATAGATAGATCCTGTTTTAAATGTATTTTGAGGTGCGAAGTGAGATGTCAAGGACTGTTTCACTGTTGTACTCTGATAAAAGATTTAGAAATACATGCGCTATATCGGTATCTCGTAATTTACAAACACATGGAGCGGTTCTGGGTTCTGTGCTTGACAGGGCTGTTGGCAAGCAGCCACTGTCTGACTACAGGACAACTGAACCCAATTTGGACTTTTTCTAGACAGGGTAGCTTGGGAAAATAATCTTAAACCCAATCAGTCTACCTAATTAACTTTGAAACGACAACTGAACCCAATCGTCAGTTAGAAATAACTAACAGATAAACAGGTTTCCAAATACCGTTTAGCTGCTGCCTGGTTTCTATTTATAATATTCAACAAAAATTTATTGGCTAGTGCCCGAAGTGGTCTTACCAACGAGGAGGATACTTTGACTTCTTCTACCTAAGGGGTCGTTCACATATTGTTACGTAATATGTGTACGACCCCTTAGTGTGACAGACATAGTGGATAAGTCCTCACTACCAAGGATCGCCTTCATACAAGCAACAAAACGATTCACCAAATGCGGAGAAAACGAAGTTTAACGTTTTTCTCCACTTATTAATATTTTACCGGGGTAAGCACAGGGCTCCAATGCTCTAAATTACAGTGGTCATGATCTATCCTATACTTATAGTGATAATGACCACAGTCCTGTCTGGACTCTGGAACAGTAATAATCACCGTCTATAACAGAGTCACTGTCATCGCCACCCCCCCCCCACCATTAAATCCGGGTAAGGGGCCAAAACACAAAAAGGGCCAACTTTTTTATTTAGGTTTCTAAAAATGTTGGGAAAAAAACTCGGACCGGAGATTTTGTAAGTCAAATATTTTTTCGGTTTTCGAAGTCCGGACCTACTCTTCGATTTACGATTTTAGACTCGAGGGTTCCCCTTTGTAATGCGATCTCGGAAGGCCGGCATCTCCTTCGCAATACGAGCTCGGAATCGGGAGCTCTCGATACGGGAGGTACGTATCGAGAATGACTCGGACCGAAAATTTTCCCTTAAGTCTTGATCGCAGAGCAACGATCTGCAAGGGTTGATATCGTCAATCAACCCATGACATATGACATAGGGTTAAAATGCTCCCTTGGAGGACTTCGCCGCGCAAACTAGCAACGATCTCGATGGGTTGACACCGTCAATCAAAATGCTCCCCTGCCGAAATATTGGCGAAAAACTGTCTTGATCACGTGATATGACCGTAGAAGGAAGTTGGTCGAATTTCTTAAATTTAGAATAAAACTGATTACAGATTATTGACATACGTTGCATGCCACTTTTCGCGCGCGAAGCGCGCGCCGCCGATATTTGGATACGAAACATGTATCAAACAGATTACTATGAGTATAACAAATGAGCGTTCTCGCGGGTCCACATTGACGTATGTTACTCGTCTAAATTTTTTCGAAGTAGTGCGCGCCGCTTTCTCCTCGAAATGTTAGCCCGAGGCAACTGCTACGAAGTAGCGCGAGCCGGGCTAGTCTATAGTCCATCAGTAAAGTACAAGGGCCCAAAATACAACAATTTGGACAAGGGGTATAGTCCATTTACTGGGCCGCGCGCAGCCTGTCATTACACCCAATCTCTATTGCTTTATGTTTATGAACATGATAGGGTTGTAAAATTGAAATACGACCGTTGTCAGTTGTTGTTATGTAAGCTTACCTGGAGACTTCAAGCTTAAATGACACAGCAAGAGACGCGTGGTTACTGGGCCGCGCTCAGCCTGTCATTCCGCCTAATCTCTATTCGTTATGTTAATGAACATAATAGCCTGGGGTCCCCAGATAAAATAAGAGACCTGGCCGTCCGGTAAATGTTATATTATATGTGTGTCTGGACTATATTTCCAAAATTGAGTTTCAGGATCGAGTTTGTTGTTTTTATTATATATGGAGAAGGTCAAGGCAGTGTCGGCTCATCCTTGACCATTGTAGCGCGATGCGTTACTGTGCCTGGCTAGATCTGCGAGATGCGCTACTGTGCCGCGCCGAGCTGCCATGAATTGACATCGTCAATTAACCTTGACCATTGTTAATGATCTGGCCCGGCGTGCGCTACTTCGTAGCTCGTGCCGTCGGAAACATTTCGAGACAGAAAGCGGCGCGCGCTACTTCGAAGAAATTTAGACGAGTAACATCCGTCAAGCTCATCCTTGACTTGATTTGGGCCATTAAGGTTTCATTTCCCTATCTTACATATTTCTTTTTGTCTGCCTACTTTCAGTGGATGGGAAAATCATAGGTCAAGAAAACAACAATTTCATGAAGAAAAAAACAATCATATTTAGTATCAGTTAAACACAAATTCAGTTAAACAAAAATTCAATTTTATGCCATTTATTGCAGAGTAAACAAGTTTACGATAACAAATAAATCAATTTGATATTTAAAGTAATCCTTACAAGACCAAACGACAAAAAACGCACGGCACCACACAAAGGAGAGAAAGAGAATATGCCGAGTCAAAAGGCTGAAGACCCAGTCACCTTTTTGTCCGAGGGAACCACTAAAAGCACGACAACTGCTGGTGCCAATAAACAAAGCAAAAATAACAGTGATGGCACCCCTGTTAACCGTGAAACGTACTGTCGTGACAACTTCAATCCTCAACATTGGCACACCCGGAAATGTGTAGTCATTCACGACGCACACTTCAATACCTTCGACGAATCAAGATTCACGAAACGTTTTGATGTCAAGAGGATAGAATATGATACTGCCGTATCAGCTAGCAGGGACCAAAACTTAGTCAAAAAAGTCTCAGAAATCAACCCTGAAGCCATTTATATCCATCTAGGGCAACTTGATGTTCTGATGAATACGCCAGGAAACACGATACTAGATGGTATGAAGAAAATCTTGGATGACCTAACAAAAGCAACCTCAGCAAAGATATGTGTTTCGCAGATTATTCCACTCCCCGGCTATCCACAAGTCAGCAGTACCATAAGACAGATAAACTCTGAACTAAGCGAATACGTCAAATCCAAGATTAATGCTAGCCTAGACATAAAAATATGCACGCAAAACAATGACAATCTCGGAGGATTCATCCAGCGCAGCGTAGGACCACATGGAGTCTTGTTGGGTCTCGATGAACGAGGGGCTCGGAAATTGTGGCTTCATCTCCGTGACGGGCTATTTAGATCTCTCGACATTGAGCTATCAAGAGGGACTAAAAACTCAATCAAACCTCAACAGAAGAAAAACCATAATGGATAGTCCCAAAACAACTGATGTCCTGATCAGATTGCCTTCCCACAACAGGGAGACATTGAAAATCCTTTCGTGGAACATACACGATGCTTCAAACGGGAAAGAAGGCAGGAAAATTGATGATACTGAATTTGCTGCCATTGTCACTTCTTGTCCCATTTTCTGTCTTCAGGAAACCAAGAGTAAAATATTTGTTCCAGACTACAAATGTTTTAATGCTAACAGACCAAACAGTCGCTCAGGAGGACTTTGCATTGGTGTCCACAGGTCTATTGCCAAGGATATCAAAGAAATAACATCCAATTGTAGTGACATCCAATCAGTAAGGATAAAACTAGGAAGTGAGAGTGCTGTCGATGAACTAGTTATCATCAACTTATACGACTCACCTGAGCACTCTTCCTACAAGAAGAGATTGAAATCATGCAAAATTACATCCGATGACGATGCTTCAACTCTAGACAACTTACTTGACTTCACCATGAATAGTATTCAAAACGGTAGGAAGGTGATACTAGCAGGTGATTTCAATGCAAGGACCGCAACCTTGAACAACACCATCGAGGAAGATACTGAAGCATTATCTGCTGCAAACCCATTTAGCCAACGCAGCCACCCCTGTCTCAATGATCGTTCTAGCAAGGACCAGATGGT